ATTTTTTACTTTTAAGCTATTGAGGTTTTTAGTAGCGGTTACATTATTTTATTCAAATTCTGTATCAATTTTTGAAGAATTTTCAGTTCCGATACATTATTTTCATCAAATTTTACTATAAATCATCATAAATACCATTTGCAATTGCTTCAATACCTGAAAATATGGCTTTGGTAATACATGATTATACGATATTTCGAAAAGGTTCATTAGTGTTTTATATATTCACCTGTAAACATAATTTCTTAAAGCATCGGAATTAAAAAATTTTGTTTAAATATTATATAAATGGTATTCAAAACAACAAGATTTTTTCTTATTTTTTTAACATGAAATATATGTATGTAACGAGCTACGTGCAACAAAAAAAGGCATTGCATTTTGAGATATTTATACACCTATTACTAAGATACTATTGAACACCAAAGGGTAAAAATTTGTATAAATACACAATATATATCAAATATATAATAAAGGTTTTATGCATACAGTAGATTTATAGAAAAAAGAATACACAATTTAGTAAAAATTGTCATTTTCTGTGTACAGAAATTAGCATTTTAGCTAAACATGTCTGAGGAATATTTCAAAACTTTCACATAAAGAATAAAAACACACAAGAATATAAATAATATGTATAGTAAAAATTTCCAGTTCATGCATTCAGTAGATTTATACGAAAAGAATACACAATTTAATAAAAATTGTCATTTTTTGTGTTACGAAATCTGCATTTTAGCTAAAAATGTCTGAGGAATATTTCAAAAAAGTATAGCTTTAGTATCGCCCACCCTAGAATAGTACTAAAAAAATTGCGCCAAACAAGGGCAATAAAAGATATTGTCTGGTAACCCGTTCCACACAACTTAATAAAAATTGTCATTTTCTGTGTTACGATAAATGCCTCTTAGCTAAAAGTGTCTGAGAATTTACATGATTTTCCCAAATTCTGTATCAATTTTGAAAGAATTTTCAGTTTTGTGATGCATTACTTACATCAAAGTTAAGAATAAAACTTTAATGCTTTGTAATAATGTATCAATATGTAAAAGTAATGAATTTTGAACAAGCGATTATACAACATTTCGAAAGTTTTCATTATGGATATGAATGTTAATATACTTACAACTTCCTAAAATATCAGAACTCAAGTTTCTCTATATGTTAGACAAGTGATTTCTAAAACAGCCACAAGACTGAGGGTTTTTTGTTTTGTTTTCTGTTTTTAAATATGAAATTCATTTATTTTTTTATGTGTGTAACAAGCTTCTCACAACGGTAATGATAATATGACTTTTGTAACTTTTTCTCAGAAACTATTAAATATTAAGCCTCAAGATTTTGTCTATACATTGAATAAACCTTTATCTTCATACTTCAGTGAAGTTTCAAAAATAATTTGTACAGTTTCTTTTCTTCTTTTTTTTATAAAAAAAAAAGATAATTTTTGTAAAACACAATTAGGAATTTCATAAAAATTGTAATTTTTTTGTTATGACATGAATTTTCTAGCTAAATGGTTTAGAAATATTTTGAAAATTTCACTTGAAAATACACAAGTAAATATCCATGCATGCAGTAAGTAGGTTTAGGTAAAATAAAATTTTTAGAAAACAGTAAATTTTATAAAAAATGTTACCTTGTCAAAGTAAGTCTACTAAAGCTGTTCCTTGTTATGTTCATCTAAAATTTTTATCTTTAATATTCTATTAGATAATAATTATATTTCGAACTAAGTCAATTACTACTTAGATTAACAAAGAAAAATTTTATTTTACCTACTTTTTTAAAAATAGTTACAACTAATATATATAAGTATATACATAGGACACGACATTAAGTGGCAATTTAAAACGGGAAAAAAAAAAAACTTTTCAAGTTTTGACACAAGTCGCCAGAAGGGTCCCTAAGTCTCCAAAAATGATGCCAACGTGGCTGTAATTGTAATTCTTTAAGTAATTAGTTTTAATCAATTAATTTTTATTAATTATAGTTAACTTATTGCAGTGTCATTCAAAATAATCGTGTATATAAAATTTCTGCTCAATGGAGCGCTTTTAACTGTATTTTATTAATGGTTGAAAATTCCACGAAGATAAATAAATACATATATAGAGAGCGTGAGCTAATTGTAAGAATTGAAAAACATATTAGATGCACATATGTGCTGTCTCTCACTGTTGAATACTGTTGATGCGGTGTGAAAGTTAGGGAAAGGAGATGTCATCTCAGATGTCAACCTCGTCAGTAGACCATGATTCAAAATTACGAGGTTCGTTGCCAATAACCCTCGGGCAGCTTTATAATGCAACGTATAAATTTAACTCTCACTCTTTCTCACAATGTGTTGGAGAATTTTAAAAATAAAACCCTATTTCACGAGTGTTTTTAAAATACGATCTAGAAAAAGAATTCGAAATCAATGAAGAGAAAAGAAGGATTCCAAATACAAGCCGTTATATAATTATTTTTAATAATAAAAATATTAGTAATATATGGAAACTAGTAAATCAATACAGCTTCCGAATTAGCTTTGCAATAATTCCAATAATACTTTAAATTACGATCGCTGGACAAAACATTAGCTGAGCCCCAAATTTTTATCAGCAACCGATATTGGTATAGGTAAATTAGTAAATGATTATAAAATTTTTGACGGATAGGCAACTCTTACCAAACACAAATATATAACAAGAAATAACTATTGTTTGCTTTGGGATCATAATTTATGGGGGGACCCATCATAAAATGATCAGATTCATTTTCGACGGACCCAATATAGATTGATCCATTCCAAGCTAGTACCGCCGTAACGGATATCATGAGCAGAGTTTTTGAGTCCTGGTACCTTGCGACTTACACAGATTTTTATGAAAAAGTTGTTCTTTATATTTAAAAAAAATCAGACGAAAGCGTCAAGACGAAATCATTATGAGTAAAAATTGAAATATATTGCTCCATGGGATGTGTTTTAATCACCAAGAACTGAGCTTTTGAACACCACCGAAAAATTACAATGTAGAGGGGCTGAGACATGCTTAACCTATCAAAAAGCCTTATCACAGTCGCATGCTTCAAACAACAGCTTAGGAAAATTTTCCGAGCAGCAATGAGGGTGAAGAGTTGCCGTAACCAAACGACAGACACCCTCTGACTTCGTCCGCGCACTGTGTTTACTTTGAAACATTACTCCCCGATATCTCTGCTTGAGAAAACGAACATCCAATATTGTTTATGTTTCACCTTTGTCGACAGTCGTAAACAGAAAATATACCTGTAAATATCGATTGTCTTTAAATATATTACACACGACACTTCTGAGGTGAAGTCGTAATTGCAATCTTGCTTGTGACGTTAGGAGGCAAAGAACGCCAGTGACTGGAATTTCAAACACTCTTAATTTATAGCCATGATTTCAGCTATCTGGGAAAAAAAGTTGTTTGAAACCGTTACTATGGCAACTGGGTGGAGATTACTCGAAAGGGTTGCTTGAAAGAAAAATTACTCCCAATATATTTACGTGTGAAGCGCTTACCTTAAGCACACTATCTTCGAACCAGCGTCAGTGTCGTCCTCGTTACTCGACTGATAGTTAAAAGTATAATGTCCGATGTGAATAACCCCTTGTGATGTATTGAAATACTCCTTTAATAAACAGCCAATCAATTCTTTCCAAGTCCATATTTAATTTAACTGAAAATCGTATGAAACATTTTTTTAACCGGGTACATATTTTCCATAATTCCTTTATTGATAGTAATGTATGTGTTAGCGTTAAAGTGTGAAAAATGTTATTTCGTAAAATAATTAGATATTTCATGATTACAAGATCAAGTCAATTTAAGTATAGGAAATTGTGCGATTCTATACAGTTTGACTAATTTCTTTAGTGTTAAAAGCAACATTTTTTTTTTCTAATTTTAATTTTCATAGCAACGCAAGTGATTTTGATTGGACTAAGTATAAGATATATTGGAAATCATGATTCCTGTCTCGCACTGCTCTATTTCCGGTTTTTTTCGTAAAGTTTAATTAATTTTAAAAGAAATGTTTATATTCTATTTTTCTTTATAATTTATCAAATCTATTTGTAATCTAAAATGTATTTTTCGAGAAAGTTTTACTACTTATCACCAGTTAATTTATAAAACAATGGATTTTTTAATGATAAATAGCACATTTTCCCCTTTCCTGGTCTGTTATTAGTTAGTTTATGTATTTCTCCGGTTATGTCAATGAATAACTAGTTAATTTGGAAAACAACGTTTTTTCGTGAAATACTAGGTATTCTGTGAAATAACTAAATAACATGTTGAAAAGATAGCAAATACAACGGACAAAGTTCATGTGACCTCATAGTCACATGATAAATGCAATCACGGGTTTCCAGCTAATAAGTTCATGCGCTTCGTTGGAACAAAAAAATTTTTTGGAGCAATTTTCTTTCAAAAAGCACATTTTGTCAACATGAGCAGTTCACATAAGTAAGAAAAATACATTTGATTTAAAAAAATACATGAATAAAAAAAAGATATTTTTTTAAAATTTATACTACTTTATTTATTTATTTTTATTGTTTTATTATATTTGATTATTGTTACCCAGTTTGTAAAATTTGAAGTTTTATTTAAACTTTTTTTTTTTTTTGCAAACAGAACGAGTACAAATTAATTTAACGTCATTTGATTTCATCGTCTTGAAAACATATTAATATATTGGAGACTATTTAGTATATATTTTTTCAATTCCTACTATTAGTTCACACTCTCCTCATATATATATATACACATCCTGTGTTCAAATTTTCAATCGTTAATAAAATATAATTTATTCATCCACTCAAGTTCAAATACATTTTTTAAACTTGTAGTACATGACACTTAATGTTAATACATTTTTTTCAATGTTAATGTTTAATAAAATGTAATTACAAAATAAATAATAACAAACAAAAATAATAGTCCAAGTCCATATATAAAAATCGAAGTCTCGCTCGTTGTATCCCTGTAGCGTAATTGATGGCGTGTTGGACATTTAATCCAAAGGTCGTGGGTTTGAACCTTACCTGGGATGGGCTAATTTATGAGAATGTGATTTCCTTTTACTATACTATTTTATTGTAATAAACAAATTTAATTAATGAATAAATAGTAACAGACAAAAATAGTAGCCAAGCAACCTATATAGAAAGGAAAAAGGAAAATTTCAAGGAAAATTGCTTTCTGTTTGGCACTTAATATTGTGATTCTGTTAGATGTAGGGAATGCAATATCGGATCAAAAGTTCAATACCGGTACTCGGTATTTTTTAGGTCTTGATACCGGTTTTAATACCGGAAGTAGAAATTTTAGAATAAGACAGAAAACACAGATGTTTCTTTGTTTTATTTTCCAGTTTTATTAGGGAGTGTAAATATCAAAAAATAATTTGTAACTTATAAATTATACTGGTATATAAAGAATCACAAAAAGGTAAAAACACATCCGATTGATTTAAATCCCAAAAAGTGTAAATATCACTATTCAGTCTGTGGCTCTATTGTAAATGTTTTAAATGTGATCTTTAAAAACATAACACGTCAATTGTACTGTCATTAAGCCTAGAACTCAATATTGTGCAAATATTACCAGTTGTCGAAAACGCTTTTTCGTCATCTATGCTAGCGGGTGGTACTGTTAGCAATATGTGATATACTTTTAAAATGCGCAATATTTTCATACAAATAATGAAATCGAAGTATTATCAACTGATTTTTTGTGTTCCTCAAAGTTATTCTTATTCATTAACCCTCTAAGTGGATGACCCGCTAATTGAAACTCACTTGGAAAGCGGTCTACTTTTTCAAAGCTAGTGGTAGCGAAACGGTTTCTGTTTAATTTTGCGAACTTCTTCGAAAGTGCACCACAGTTTTATGCCTTCCTCTCCTAAAGCTGCGTGAGGTCCTCAAATGGTTTTGCAGGGGACGATTTTATTGCTTTTTTGGTTTCTGTGCTGTTGGAAAGGCGATGTTTCTCATTCACAGCTGTTGATTAAGGCGAGTATTGTGTGATGGACATTTTACCCACTTCACGGCCAACAGAAACTTCTCCCAATTTATTGCAAACAAGAAAATAAAGGGTAAAAAATAAAGTTTTAAAGAAATGACTCATTCAAAGTTGAAAAAATATTTTTAATATATATATCTAAGCAAAAGAAAATTTATTTTTTTCTAGTGTTATTTTTAAGAGCTTTAAATTTTTTTTAAAAAAGAACATTTTTATTTAGATATTACAATTTTAACCAGACAGAAGCTCTCTGTAATCATTGTAGAATATCAGACGAAGAAAACTCAAGAATATTTTCCTGTTATTTTTTTTAATTATGATGTAAAATGTAAAAGTGATTATTTTTTTATTTAACAAAATTATAATAAATGTAGTATCATTATATATGATGAATAAATTGGTAAAATAAAACTGGGCTTTCTGCAATTTATTATATTTTTAATTGACAATAACGTAAAAAGTCATTTCAATAATTTTAATTTTTGCAAATTTTAATTCTTATCTTTATATTTTTCTGTTGAATGATTTTTTTCGCTATAAATCTTTAACAACTTTCACTGAGAGAAAATACCCTCACTACGTCAGCATTTGCACACATAATACACATTCAATCAGTGGCGCACACAAGGGAAAGGTCCAGTCCCCCCAAAGCACTTGATTTTTTTTCGATTGATTATAATTCCATGTATATTGTAAGTATTATATATATATATATATATATATATATATATATATATATATATATATGCATAGTTTGTACAGTAAGTAACTGTTATTAATAATTAATTTTATTAATGCTATTTATTCATACACACACAATAATTAATTTTCTAATGTTTTTTGTTACCGAAAATCAAAAGAATATGTTAGGTTGCGAATTGGAGTATAGGAGAATAGTGGACTTTTGACCCTGGACCCCCTCCTTGAAAAGTTCCTGTTTGCGCTATTGCATTCAATCAATATGAAAAAATATTTTTCTTAAAGCGTGCTGGCGAAAGTGTTTCTAACCCTTTTCTATTCAAATTTAATTTTTAATCTTTCCATTCCTTTAGTATTTCATCCTTTAAATGCATATTCGCACATATCTATAAATGGTAACTATATCTTTCTATTCGGTTATTGCAAAGATGTATTACGAATTAATTTGGTCTCTTAAAAGAGTACACTTAAAACAATTTACGTAAATAAAATTAGCTGATAATTAATAATATAACAAATTTAAATAATAAATTTTAACATTTAGAAATGTATCCTTAATTCCAGTACTAAAACCCTACAAATTGTTAATTTGTTCTTAAATAATAACAGTAATAATTCATAATCATCATCATAACTCGTTCTATATTGCAAAAAAACTTTACCTTTTGCTTCTGAAATATTATTACATTAAAAATTTGTGTAATTTTATAAAAAAAAATTACACCTGTGGAAAATACGGATCATAAGTTTTGGGGTTTTTAAATAATTTTCTCGTAAGTATACAGAATTGATAGTACCGTAGTTATTGCCAACTCGCGACAATGAATGTTATTAAAATACGAGTATGGAATACGTATATGGAAGTTTACAGGACTTATTTTTGCATTTGCTATTTTTATATTTCTTATCGAAAACAACAAGTGGGAGTGCATTACCTGCCAAAACTGCAGAGGTCTGGTTGTTTACTCCACAAGTTTCTACCTTATGCTTACTCTGCCCTACTAAGTAAAAATGCCGTCTTCTGCTCGTCAACATCATAGAATTGCAGATATTGTTTTCTATATATTTTAAATGTTAGTTTTCTAACTTCGACATCAACCTTTTAACAGTCTACACTCCTGCAAAGAAGTCTGAATCCAAAACTATAAAAAATTCTTATTATTCGCAACAATGTCATTTATACCTTTATTTTTTTATAATCTATGAATGCGTTAAATTAATAATTTGTTATGTCGACTATTTAATATCAAGGTATTCCACTACGTTCGTAACCGTGATTATAAAAAAGCGCATCAATGGATAATTTTTATAATATTTAGTGTCACTGAGATTATAATACATGTATAAAATTGTTTTAAGGATATTTTGGCAAAAAAATAATTTAGAGCAATCTTTATTCAAAATGTTCTCCTTCTATAAAATATACTTCTAAAAGAATAATATTTTGCTTATATAAAGTAAAGACTTCTCCAAAGAGTCTAAACTATTTTTTAAAAAAATTCACACTATTTTCAGTTACAACCAATTAAAATAATTATCGGCGTTTATTTCTTAAAATTTCTCCCCTCTGTTGTCGTAAAACATCGATAACCCCACTTCTATTTCAAAAACTCTAGTTGAGCTTCTGTACAGAGGTCTGAGCTATATACAGGCAAAATATTATTATAATAGAAGCATTTTAAACAAAAGGAAAATATTTTGAAAATTGGTCCTTCTATGTTAACTTTTTGTCAAAGTATTGTACTTAAATCATTTTTATATATTGTAATACTATCCTTATTGATATTATATACGTTTTCTAATCTAAGTGACACTAAATATCATAAATATTATCCATTTACACGCTTTTGCAAAATTACGGTTCCAAACGTAGTCGGATACCATAAAGCTACTTCATTTTTCATAATTTTGATTAAGGTAAAAACAAATATAAAAAGGATGTCTCTAAAATATATTATAGAGAGCGGAGGATGTAACAATCTGAATATGCCAGATCTGGCGAATACGGTGAGTGTAGTAGAACATCTTATCCAAGCTCTAAGTTATATTGACGAGTTATGAGAGGTCTCCCAATTTCTTGGAAGAAACTCCATCAGGAATACAGCATTAATATATATATATATATATATATATATATATATATATATATATATAGAATTTAAGGTATCCGACTAACCTAAAATTGTTAATTTTGCCAAAAGATTGACAATTCTTCTTACGATTTTATTTTGCGGGCCATCTTATTAGCTTTATAAAAATACCAAGACTTTTATTTTCCATTCCTTAGAACAAAAAATCCAAGTTTGCGACATTAATATGCCCTCACTCACTCAAATAAGTTATATTAAATTTAAGCAATACATGAAAAAATATTAGAAGTGGAATATAAATATATATATATATATATATATATATATATATATATATATTAAAAATTTAATCTAAATATAATAAATATCGAAAGAATTATTAGTATTTATGGTAAATATATTTCAACTGAGTATGTGAGACACGCATAAATATCTTTTTCTACATTTAAATGCAGGATCTCAGTGCAGCTGATATAAAATTCCTAGTTTTGCATGGTTAAAATTACAAAAAAATGTCCAAATTTTAATAACCTTTTCTTCAGTCAACCACTAATGGAACATAAATGATGAGGGATTTTGCATGAATATATATTTAACTTGAATTTAAAATGGATCTTTATATTTATTCATGTGCGCAAATGTTAACTGTAAATTTGTCCAGATTCTTTTGATTACTCTTTATTTGAAAATTCAAGTTTAAAAATATGAGCTTGTGGTTTACTTCTCCTTGAATGAAATTAAAGTTCAGACATTTAAAATTAAAATATAAATCTTTATCTGAACAATACAAAACTAGGGATTCTATGTAAGATGCCCTGAATACTTGGCTTTAAAATTATGAAAAACTAAAGGATTTAAATAGCTTTTCTTTATCATTGCGTAAGAAATTTTTCAATTTTTTTCTCAATTCCTTTACTTCCAATTATTTCCGTACGCTGTTTGGTTTAAAGAAATTTTTTCCAGTTTTTTACGATTGATGCAGGGGAAGAATCGGGCTCCCCGCGAGCCATAAAACTTCCCCTCAATGTCCATTGTGTCTTCCCGACCATCTCTAATTATCTTTCAAGATGTTTAACGTTTAAAGGGGGGAAAGAATTCGGAAAAACACGGCCTTACCGCTTTCGAACACGTTACTTGAGGAGGTAAAAGTACGTTTGGTGCATTTTTGGCTAGTTCCCGCTCTTACGGAAAGTTCCGTGTGGTCCGTTTTTGAAGCCTCTCTAGTAGGGCGGAAAAAGCC